AGTTAGCAGCTGTTCTCGGTATCCATGCAGTGAAACTGCGTAACATGTGATTTCTCTAAAAGTGTTAAGGTGCAGGCGGGCAGTTCAGTAATAGTGTCATACTCGGTCTGCATTAAAATTTAATTTGGTCCTTGAAGAAACAGATCTTGCCCCTTAGCATCATATGCTGCGGAGCAGTGTATTTGTACAGCATGGCAGTTTGCGTATTTTTTGATTCTGTTCTGTCAGGCCACTGCCAATATGGGCTTACCAAGTGGAGGTGGTACTATCACTCCACAACAGATGATCGGTGTGCAGTGCCCAGAACTGCAAAGTAGCACTCAAGCGAACGCAGCCGCATCTTGGAGGTATTTTTACCTTTCAGAAATATCATATTTTTATTGTAGAAATAAGACTAATCATTGTAGCAATGTAACTGCAGAAAGTCAAACCAAAGATTTTGCCTAAAGCTGGAAACTGAAATGCTTTGATTTAGATATACAAATCCTTCGGCTGCTGGATTCCCAGGACATTTCATGGATGCATTTGGTGGCGGTATGCCTTCAGCTGCTAGTGGAAGTCAATTCGCAATACCAAATCAGCTTTATTATCAGCATGGATATCATCCATACCTGATGCCAATGATGCGGAATGATTAGGCTCTATTTTTGTTTTTCTTTACAAACTTGGACCTGTCGAAATTGCATAGTATTTTAATATTATAATACGATATGTTTCGAATGGGTTTTAAGCCATCGTTAGAGAGTAGCGCAGCGTTGCTTTGCGATGTTAAGCTGGTGCCTGTTTGTTTCTACATGGCTTCTCCACTGCCTCTGCATGGTCAAGAATTTTTAGCACTTCTTAATATTGGCAGTCTCTTTATCACGCAGAAGTAGCAACCACCACAGCTGTTGATTGTTGCTGTCTGATACGAAGACCTCCGGAGCAAACTGAAGGCGATGTGAGTCACGGGAATGCTAGACACCTCAACGTCAATTTTACAGCGAATTGTAAAGGGACTGGCTTTTCCATTGCGCGACTTTTACCGAAAAGTGGAAGTATCGAGGCGTCTTTGTCCACACCACATGTTGCCTGTAATGCATTTCATATGCATTTTTGCTGTAGTTTTTCCTTCTCATCGCAAACAAATGCATTTCGGTCTGGATGACTCTGTGTTGCATGTGGCGCGAAACTTATCTTGCTCGCTTCGGTAAGCTGCGCTGTCTTTTCCTCAATACTGACAAACAGTTGTATACTCTTCAGATCGTCAAAAAAAAAAAATAGCTTTTTCAGCACTGAAGTGCAGTATGATGAGTTTTCATGTGTTGTTCGGGTATTTTGTTGAAAATTTCACATTGAAAACGTGCGATTATGTGTAACACTGATCTCTTGCCGCTCATATTCATGTCCCTGTACATCTCTAAGATAGAATATCTCATTTTAGCTAATAAGTCAGTGAGTTTAGTGTGCTTTTACTGGGCAGTTTTTTTGGCTGCGTCATAACTGTCTTCATTTGTACGCTGGCACTGTATACTTCGTCTCGGATGAGCTCATTCAGACTTGTCTGTATTCACAGTTGCCTTTTTATGCGTTTTTTGCAGCAATGCAATGCAAAAAACGCATATTGACGAGAGGTTGTCTGTGTGTTTTTATGCGTTTTTTGCAGCAATGCAATGCGAAAAACGCATATTGACGAGAGGTTGTCTGTGTGTGTATGTGTCTGTGTGTGCGTATGCGTTTTTTGCAGCAATGCAATGCAAAAAACGCATATTGACGAGAGGTTGTCTGTGTGTGTGTCTGTCTGTC